GCTCAAGTGGTAGAGTGCTAGCCTTGAGCTGAAGAGCTGAGGGACAGCGCCCAGGCCCAGAGTTCAGGCCCCACAACCAGACCCCCCCAAAAAAAATGATTGGTATATATGTTTTTTAAAAATTCAATCTCCGTAAACTAGCAAATATTTTGTTTACAAAAATAGGAAAATACTCTCGTCTTTTTTTAAAAAAGGAAGTAATATTCTTCTATTACTAACAGGACCTCAGCCACTCTGGGCCATCTGGTCCTTCTGATTTCTGTACCTTTGAGTGATAGCCCCCAGCCTAGCCTTCCTGCTGTTCTTCTACTTTCTGGGAAGAGGCCAAGAACAGAGAAGCATGCACATACCATGTACAGAGGCCGACTACACTGCTGGACACAGTCTGTGTAGAACACCATAGCAGCCCGTCGGAAAATCCCCAAATCTGCTGATAACACAACTGAATCATGAAAAGGCTTAAGAGAATACAAATGTGGGGAAATCAAACCATAGGGAATGCAGCTAAGATAATACCATCTTTGCTGTATTAAGTTGCATCAAGATGCTCTGTATAGAATGGGTGAACAATCAATATATTCTCTAAAGATGCTATTGTCACGAAGGGCACTAAGTCCATGCATCACAGAGAAGACAGGCAAACAAGAAAGACATGAATAACAAACTCCGCAAATCACATGGGTGGCTGGTAACCCTTACGATCTCTATTTCTCAATGTGGTTATGAATTGGTAAGAATTAAGCCAGAGGATCCTGGGTTGTCCTCAGCAGGTTCAGAAAGCCTATCTGTATTGCAACCAGTCAGAAAAATGAAAAGGCTGCAAATTAAGATGGAGAGAAAAATATGACACAGCTTTAAATAATGCAGTGTAAAAAGACACCATGAAATGCTATCAGTGTGCACATTATAACAAGAATGAATCAAGGTCAAGAGAGGGGCTGTCAGTAAACTGTCCACATTGTTGATATCAAATGCAAACCCAGTCTGCTCAGAGCCAGCATTCAGTGTGGGTCCCCACTCTGTTGGGGGTGCTATTTCTCTTCAAGGCTAACCATCTACTGAACTAACCATGAAGAAGGGCCTTGGCCTTGTAACAGACCAGCCTCTACCTACGCAGCAGGTAGAGGCTGAGGACAGCCTGGCCTTTCTCCCTCTCTTTGTATCCTCTCTCTCCAACACAGCTTGTCTGACCTGGAAGAGGGTATTCAGGGATCAGAGCTGGCATACACACACCCAGAGCACTTTGACAGGAAACAACTGAGAGCCCTAGGAAGGATGGCAGGACATTACCTGTGTCAGACACATCTGAATCAGTAGGAAGCAGAGAAGAAATGAGAGAAAGAAATGATTTGTAATACGGAAACCAAACGGATAAACTACTGGTCATTTTATTTCATTTTCTCAAAACAATAACTACAATTATATTTCCTAATGATAAAAGTAATATTTGGTTATCACAAAGGACAGAGTCCCTCATTCTGTGATTCCACATTCCACTGAGATTTCTCTCTCTGTGTATCTATTATGGTGTGCAAACTTGCCATTTTTATCATCTGTCTTCTCCTGAGCAATCCCTGAGGTCTCTTGTCCTGGGCTCTGGGATCTCAGAGTGATCTGCGCAAGGTGTTCTCCATGCGCCATCCTACATATGAAACATTCTGTCTCATCACTGCTGCCTCTCCTGGTCAGTATTTACTTTCTAGTGTCACCTGAGGGCCCTAGGGAAAGCATGCGGTAAGAAAGCAAAGGCAGCAGATGATATGAATAGAGAGGTTGGAATTGGCAGAACATCACCTCCAAGGTTCATGAATCCAATACTTCCTGCTAAAGACTAACTTGAATCACCATCATTATCACAAAGAAATCGCAGGTTTTCCTTTTGATTCTGGTACCCCTGTAATCACCAGAGAAAGACTCCCTGGGCACAGAACTTGAACAGTCAGTTAATTCCAAGTGGCCCTTTCTACTTGCAACATGTCTCTCTCTTTGTATCAGAAAAGGAAACTGACATGTCTGAACCATGCTGTGGATCCCACACAGTCCTTTGGGTAGATGGTGAGGATCCCCGTCAGGATACTGCATGGACAAGGGAGGAGAGTGATCTTAGAGCAATTATTTCCCTATAAGGCTGCCTCAGGCTGGCAATGTATGTCAACTAAAGGTCACTGTTTCTTTCAGAGTGATTAATGGTCCTGGCAAGAATTCCTCTCCAGGATACATTTTGGTAACATCTTCTCCTTTGTCCTTTTGGGTTCATGGAATAAACTCACATCAGCCTTTGTGTGTGACATCTTTTTTTCTGATGGGATTCTCAGAAATTATGACATGGCTGTAATATAATGTGTTATCTTTACTTCATTTGAAAGATAGACTGACTTAGTTATATTACTGTTATCCTCACTAACACCCTTAGTACTCATGAACATGGTAATGGAAATTCCCTTTATCTATGTCTGTGCTTTAAAATGGGTTAGCTCTTCCTCCTAATACACATTTAAATCCTGGGGCCTTGTGTTTGCTGCAGGGGCTGTCGGTGTGCCTCAGCGCTGAGGTCTGGCACACTTAGTTTCTCAGTTGAAAACACAAGTAGTGGTAACAACTTATTGTAATCTTGTAAGGGAAAAATTCCTGGAGACAACTGAACACAGCACAGACGTCAGAACATGTATCCATGATGATCAGTAACACTCTGATTGGGATGACAGAAGGCATCAGGGTAAGTAAACCACGTGTTTACCACAGAAAAGAGGTAACTCACCTATCTTGAAACGACCCATGTAGTAGATCTGGGAGCTGAGGGCCAGGGAGGCCAGAATATGGATGGCAGAGAAAATGACCCAGAACCACACGTCATTTTTTCCAAACACCTAGAAATAGAAATGGAGATTGTTTTGACCTGGATTTTCTACTAGAATGTCTCTTATACAATCTCAAGGAGAAAAACTAACTGTGTATATTTTATTTTCTCCCTCTCCCTAGAACTCAAAAGGATATTACTGCACATTGGATGCAAAAAATGCTAGCTACCTGGCCACATAAAAACAGAAGAGAGAAAAATAGGAGAGTCAACTGAACAAGACTGTGAACGGACCACAGGTCTACAGTGGGGTGATAAGGCTTTTCAAATAACCAAACAGCCCCAGTGCTGCCCATGAACATTTAGAAAGTAGTTCCTGTTTATTCAGCTTGGTTCTCTCCAATCAGCTTGGATCTATCCGTTCCAATCTGACTTGAGTCGGTTCCAGTTTAATATTGAAATTCCCCAGAGGTAGTTTTACAAGCACCTGCTACAGTTTTCTAAAGAACCATCTAAGTATTCAAGTAAGTGTGCTCTGAATGGACCCATGATGACAGTGTGTGATGAACCCTAGAATCCTTAGCCAGATGCTGGTGGCTCATGCCTGTAATCCTACTCAAGAGGATCCTACTTCAAACTGATCCTCAGATCAGTTTGAAGGCAGCCTAGGAAAAAAAGTCTGTGAGACTCTTATCTCCAATTAATCACAGAAAAAGCTGAAAGTGGTGTTATGGTTCAAGCGATATGGCATTAGCCTTGAACAAAAAAGAGTTCAGAGACAGCACTCAAACCCAGAGTTCAAGCCTTAGGACTGGCAAAACCAAAATGAAACGAAACAGAACAACAACAACAACAAAAAACACCCCTTGGTACTTGAGGTCAAACAAACAACAAAAATCCTCTCAAGAGGGCACTTTTCAAGAGCCCGGAAGGCAGGTGGAGAGGGGCCTACCACGCCAAGGACGGTGAGTGTGATGACCACAGCGAAGGAGGCGTAGGCAGAGTAGGCACTGGCATTGATATCCGGGTGGCGAGTCTGATAGAGCTTCAACATGCAGAGGCCTGCGATCATGTACATGAAGGAGGTGTCTGAGGACACACACAAGTCAAGATATGAGGTTCGGGAGGTGACAGATGACACTTTCTACATTTGTCTTCATTTTCTGGATACCCCTTCACTTCAATCCCATGGTTATTTTTGGAGGCCTCCAAACACGCCAGCCCCCTTCCCTCATGCATTTTCTAAAAATATCTCACTTACTCCATTTGTAACCCCTCTCTAAGGGTTATCTATTATATGATAGGATAAATAACCAACTACTCGCACTTGCATAAGTGTTTTAAAGTATTTTAAAGGCTGATGTTAACAATCATAACAAAAGAATCCTGAACAGTAATGGTTTAGAGCGTGAGACAGTAAGAGTGCAGGTAGGCGTATAAGGTTGTTCTCAATACCTTGAAATATAAACACATTGACTACTGTTAGTGTGTGTGTGTGTGTGTGTGTGTGTTCTGCATTGTTTATCCTGACAGTTAAATGACAGGCAAAAACTAGACACTAAATGTAGCTTAGCTGCATTAGAATTATAAAGATGCAAAGTAAAACATCTATTCACTGCTCCACATTACTCAAAAAAATTAGTAAAAAAAATCCTTAAATGTCTGAAGATAACAAATGCTAATGCTAATGTGGGGAAATTGAAACTGTCACAGCAAAATAGAAATGAACACTCTGGAGAGAAATTTGGTAAGTCTCCAGCAAAATAGATGTACAAATTAGGTGATTTGATGTACAGAACTTATACTTCTAGATATCTCGGAAATCTCTCGTGTGCACAAGGAAATATAGGAAAAATGTTCATTGTCTTCTATATAACAGTAAAATATTGGCAACATCTCAATGTTGTCCAATGGAGTTGATAAATGTGACATCTTTTTTAATGGAATATGACATTCCTTAAGAATAAATGAATTTGGGCTGGGAAGGTGGCTCAGGGGTAGAGTGCTTGCCTTGCATGCTCGAGGCCCTGGGTTTGATTCCTTAGCACCACATAAGCAGAAAAAAAAGCCAGAAGTGGTGCTGTGGCTCAAGTGGTAGAGTGCTAGCCTTGAGCTGAAGAGCTGAGGGACAGCACCCAGGCCCAGAGTTCAAGCCCCACGACTGGACCCATAAATAAATAAATAAATAAATTCCACATTCTTGATTCCATTTGAATTGAGTCTCTCATTGTTGAACGAAAGCTGATTGTTGAATAAAAAGTGAAGATTTCAGAACACACTGTGATAAATTAATGTAGTAGAAATACAAAAAAAAAACAAACTCAAAGGATAAATACTAAATTAATCAAATTTGTTGCCTTTGGGAAAAGGAGAGAATAAGTTTGGTCAATGCTGCAGTAAATAGGTTCAAAATGGCTCAACTTTATTCCACTTTTTTTGTTTTATTAAAAAGTAGGTCTAAGAAAAATACTTAAAAATATGATATTTTAGCTGGATGTCAGTGTCTCACATCTGTAATCTTAGCTACTCAGAAGGCTGAGATCTGAAGATCACGGTTTGAAGCAGCTTGGGCAGGAAAGCACAGGAGCTTTCTATCTCTAATTAACCACTAAAAAGCTGGAAATGGAGTTGTGGTTCAAGTGGTAGGACACTAGCCTTGAGCAAAAAGAACCTCAGGGACAGCACCTAGGCTCTGAGTTCAAGCCCCAAATTGGCACCAAAGGAAAAGGTTATCTTTGAGTAAGGAAGATGTTATTGATTGACCAGTTCCGCTCTTTCTTCTCTTTCCTTTTGTTTCCTTTTTTTTCTCTTTGTTTTGCAGAGTCAAAATCTCACAATGTACCCCAGAGTAACGTCAAACTCTGAATCTCCTGCTTCAGACTCCTAGATGCTGGGATTATAGGAATGTGTTCTTCCATCCACACCCACCCTTCCTCTTTAACAGCATTTCAATACAAACTTGGATTCATCTATCCTCTTTTCAACTCAGCTTCATAAAAGCTAGAACCACCCTTGGCTCAGGGATGGGCCTGATTGGTCGAAATGTAATCTTACCCCTTTTCTCATTGGTATAGCAACCCAGTCTGAACTAGCCAGTATTTAGTGACTGATTCAGGCATTGACCCATGAGTATAAGTTTCTGAGGTGTGAGAAGTCATTATCTTGAGGTTCCAAGAAAGAAAAAAAAATCCTTCCTCCTAAGTGAAAGCTCCTGGAAGCCAGCTCAAAACCTCCTCTGGAATTAGAGAATGGGACATGAGGCCAATGTCTCCTATGTTTAATTTTGGCCACCATGAGAGAAGTCAGTCTCAGGATGAAACCAACATACAGATGGGGTACAACCAAAAGGATCACACAAAGTTGGAGTCCTTCAGACCATGAGCTGAGACATCTCTTTATTCCACTATGTCAGCAGAGTTAGTAAGAATTAGTCTTTCTATGACTTTCACACCCAGAACAGTCTAGCCACTCAATTATGCCGAGTTGCACCAAGGGCTTTTCCAGAAGTCTGTTGGTGGATTTTAACTGGCTTGCCACCTAATGCTTGACCCATTGTCTGCCTTGGGAACATACCTGGGGGTCATCCTCAGTGTTGACTGTTTTCTAGTCTAAAAGGTGGTCAAAAAGAAAAATGGTACAACAGGTAGAAACTATGCTGTGCGGTGAGGTGCTCTTAGATGGCTGCAGCTCACACAAAATTCTTTTTAGCTCTGGAAAACTTGAACTTGGCATTTTTGGAAGGAACCTGGATAAGTCTCCTGTAACCCAAATCTGTATGGTTGATGTAAAGTCTGATTACCAAATTGGAAATTGGAGTAATTAGGGCAGACATGGTAACAAGCACTGAGCACTCCTTCCATCATCAGGGCGATGCCCATAGCATAGAAGAGACCAAAGTGTTTGGGAATCCCATACTCCTGAAATTGAAGAAAGGGGGGTCAACAGAAAGACACTAGTTAGCAACATATCCACAAAATCTGGAAGCCTTCGCTCTGGTATCATGGAGCTCATTAGACATGATAGAGCACCACATTGTCAACTCAGATGCCCCTCCCGCTTTCAGGTACTGTTTGGGATCATCCAGCTCCTATCTTTGTTTTTCCCATTCTCCCCTCACCATAGCAAAGATGTCCTTAGCTTCTAGGGATCTTCTATGGAGAATGTCCCGGCGCAAGACTATCAGCAGGAAGAGAAATCCCAGAAGCACATGGCCCAGGTTGCTGAGAATATTGTTGAAGGCACTGTACAGGAGTAAAAAAATGGGAGCGTGATTAATGCATAGATGAATGAATGAGAGAACTCAGCATTCTTTTTTTTTCCTACCACTAATCTTCCCCTATGACTTCAGGATTAGAAAATTCTCAGAAATGCTCTTTAACCTAATGCCTTCATTTTAGGATACATATAGACATGTTAGGATACCATATTATAATTCCCTACATATTATGCTTTTCTGCTTAGGCTTACACAGATAAGCACTTGCTGAAGGTACCTCTGTTATTAATAACCTACATCAGGTCTTGTCCCCAGGACTGTTCTCAAGAACATGGTAACATGTCTATCTCCCCTTAGGGATGCTTGATCAGCATTCCTCACAACTTCCTGGTCTCCTTCAACCCTGCTGGCACAGGCAAAATATGAGTCCAAGGAGAGCTGCTTAAGCATTTGAGTTGTGCTGTGAGCCTGAATTCTCCCAGATGAACCCTTGTTATGTATCAGTATTCAGATCTCTAATTGTTAATTACAGAATAAATGCCAGCTGATCAGAGCCAACAGCTTCTTTTAGTAAGTCAAGGTTGGTTCGGTTCTGGGCCAAGAAAGAAAGTTCCCACCTTCCAGGCAAATGCTCTTTTCATTTCATTGAATTCTGATGGCTTGAGAACAGTCCTGGGGACAAGACCTGATGTAGGTTATTAATAACAGAGGTACCTTCAGCAAGTGCTTATCTGTGTAAGCCTAAGCAGAAAAGCATAATATGTAGGGAATTATAATATCCATCTCAGGAGACTAACTGATTAAATAAGACATGCTGCCCATGAACATATGCCATCTCAGCTAGGATTATACCTGACCTACAGGTTCCAAAAACCTACTCCTCATCAGGTTATTTTTAGGAATATTGCCTCTGGAACTCACCCAGGAATGAGCAAAGCATGCCTGGTCTCAACTTCTGGGTTTAATTCTTCTTTATCCTAATTATAGTAGTTAACCCCAATTGTTTGTAGTGTTTTTAGGAGACATTGACATCACATTAGACAGAATTAAAATAGCCTCACGTGCATCCAGAGGACTGGGTTTACCTCAGGACGCCCAAGGGGTGAGCACAGAGGAAGTTGTAGTAACAGATGTCCTGGTTGCCTGTGACATTTACCACCTGGAAAATAAGTGTGAAAAGAGGAAATACGGGTTTTCTCCCGCCTCTGAGTCTCACCCCAGTTCACAAAATGTAGACAAGGCTGGCAGGTGCACTGTCAGTGGTTCAAGAGGCAGCCAGTGCTCCTTCTCAGCAGGGATGGAATGAGTCATTACCACCTGCTGGCATATTTCTTGCTTTGGATGAAAATGGTCTGTGTATGCCAGTAGTTGACCTCAGATGGAAGTACTAAGTGTGGGTTCTTTATTATCATAATAAAAGGACTATGAACTCATGGAAACATGGATACTTGCTTTTGAAGTCTGTCTTGTTATATCCTATTTTCTAGATTAAAGCTGAGGGGGACAGCTTTTCTGTTAGAAAAGAAAACCACTGAGAACGTATATTCAGTTAGAAAAGAAAACCACTGAGAACGTATATTCAGTTTTCCAAGTCATTCCCTTTTCCACTAAGAATGTACTTAAGCCACAACACAGCTGTAGGTTCTGACAGGGTCCAAAGAATGCAGAGAATATTTAGATTATAAACATCGATGTTCAAACCCCATAAAAACATTGTCTTCGTTATATAACAAGTATGGAATGGACTAAATATTTTCAGACTATTAGCTCTCAAGGCTGGCTGTACATAAGAATCACCTTCCCTTTCTTCCTCCCTCCCTCTCTTCCTCCCTCCCTTCCTTCCTTCCTTCCTTCCTTCCTTCCTTCCTTCCTTCCTTCCTTCCTTCCTTCTTTCTTCCCTCCCTCCCTCCTTCCCTCCTTCCCTCCCTCTCCTCTCTCTCTGTCTCTGTCTCTCTCTCTTTGCCCCTCTCTCTTTCTCTCCCTCTTTCTTTCTTTTTGGTGCCAGACTGGAGCTTGAACTCAAGGCTTTATGAGTTTACTTAGCTTTATTGCTGAAAGATAGCATGCTAGTACTTGAGCCACACTACCACTTCCTGGCATCAGTTTTGATTTAAACAATATTAATGCTTGTTCTACTCTCAGAGTTCCTGTCTATTTGGTATGAGGAACAGAATGCACACTGAGAGTCTTAGAAGTGTGCCATGTGATTTCAATGCACATTACAGGTTAAGAACCATTGCATAAAGAAAGTTTAGCCTGTGTTGTTCTAAATGGTGTGGCCATCATCATTTATGGAAAATTTGTGTGACTTTACCCTGATTTTCATTATTTCATGATGCTCAGAAATCATGATGCTCAGGCTGGTAAATAACAGATGTAATTGACTGAGAGGATTGAATGAGTACAAGATAATCATTTCAGGTTGATAGACAATATAAAAAGTTGTCTCCAGTCCCTTGGAGAACAGATTGGCAAAGTCAGTAAAAGCCAGACATAGTGTAATATGTAAATAGTGTAAATATGTGTAATCTTAGCACTTGGGAGATGGAAGTAGGAAGATGGAGAGTTTGAGGTTAACTTGGGCTACGTAGCCAAACCTTGTCTCAAACTCTGCCAGGATAAAAGGTGAGAGATCAGTTCAACATGAAGCAATGGAGAAGTCCTATTGGAACCCAAATGGGAAACTAATTCTTGATGATCCCAAATTAAGTCTTTGTCCATGGGTCACACTGGAGATTTTTTCCTGCAGGAAGGAGGCTGGGATTCAGATTGGTGGCAGCACTTACTGTCTGGTAGGTGATGACTAACTGGATCACAGGCAGTGCATAAAACACAGCAATGGTGATGATGTTCCTATGTAGACAGAAAGAATGGAGTTACTTCTCATGACCATGTAATCGCTCAGTGTTTTCAAAGGAGTGCTCATAACTCCATCCCTAGTTTGCTTCCAAAAGCAATTAGAAGTAGGTGATGGAGTTCCTGTTTCTCCTGTCTTCTCCCTTTCGTTGCATTTGGGTATTTGGTGCACAACATTTTGGAAAGGAAGGGAAGGGAAGAGAAGGAAAGGGGAGGAAAGAGAAGGGAAAGGAAGGGGAGTAGACAAATACACCCCTTGGTTACCATATAGTTTGGTAATAGAGAAAAACACTGAATGTATTAACTGAAATGGTGTGGCTGAAGATAAGCAGTCAACAATTAATAAGGCTTTATTTTCCCCTTCCTGTTTGTACAATCATTTGTAAAACCTTGCTTCTAATGAAACCACCTGATTAGTAACAGACTATTTCGCACGTTGTTAAAATGCTCAGAGTTACAAGTAATAGTTGAGGATCATATGAAGAGGGGTGGCTCTCTCACGTAATTCAGTTCCAAAGTGATAGCCTGTGCTATAAAATTTCATAGGGCCCCTCTGTCCCTGTTTCTTCTCTGTTTCCAAAGTGAAAGGGCCTTCCTCAGGAAAAAGCGGGAAATGTAATCATAGAAGAGCAACAGTCTGCCCCCTAGAGGTCAGGCTCTTGGCTGGGTGGGAGGTTGGGTCTATGACCATCACAGGTGGTCTCTTTACCATTAACTGGTGGTATCAATACCTATCATGGTTCCTCATTGAACGTTAACACCTTGTGAAATAACTGCTTATGGCTTTTACATAGAAAACTTCTAACTTGGAATAATTGAGGAACTGAGCATCTAGTTTAGTGATAGAATACTTCCTTAGTATGTGTGAGGCCCTGGCTTTGATCTCTAGCACTACAATGAATGAATGAATCCATCAATGAGTGATTCAGGATTTTTTATGGGAGCTCTAGCCATCTACTTACCAAAAATAAATCTTATATTTTTTGCTGACGATTCTCCTGTCCTTTCTGGACAGATCTGACAGGTACAGGAACATCTAGGATGCCAAGAAAAAGAGAATGCAAAATTATACTTGACTTTGCTTGTATGTGATAGAGTTTACAAATTTTGATTTAAACCTTCACTAGAGGTTAAAATTATTCAATAAGACTTTTTCTTTAAATTTTGTTTTCTCCTAGGATATCTTAATAAAATCCTAATATTTTTCTTTTTTTTATTTTGAAAATACCATACAGAGGGGTTACAATTACATGGGCAAGGTAATGAGTACATTTCTTATCAAGCATTGTTGCCTCCTCCTTTGTTTCCCTTCCCTTCCCATCCCTTCCCATTTCCGTCCCCCCCCCAACTTTTGTTGATTCTTTTTTTCTTTTCTTTCTTTCTTTCTTTTTTTTTTTTTGTCGGTTGTGGGGCCTGAACTCTGGGCCTGGGCGCTGTCCCTCAGCTCTTCAGCTGTAGACTAGTGCTCTACCACTTGAGCCTCAGCCCCACTTCCGGCTTTTTCTGCTTATGTGGTGCTGAGGAATCGAACGGAGGGCCTCATGCATGCAAGGCAAGCGCTCTACCACTGAGCCACCTTCCCAGGATATTCTCTTGGAATATTAAGGATTGGCTAAAGTGGAAAACGTCTAGGAATACTGAATGCAATACCTCAAGTATTGATTTTCCTACTTCCAGAATTAGCCAATGTTTAATTTTTAAATCGCAGGTGGTTGAAAGTGTGTACTTCTTTTACTGGATACCACACAATATAATAACTATATGCCAGGAGGAAATGAGCTTTACTTCTGATGTGTACAAAAACAGGGAGCTTTTCAAGATACAGCCTCAATGAATCTTTTCTTCTATCTATTTGAATTCCTTCATCCTTTCTTGTCCATAGTCAGCAACTACAGATACTAAGAATATTTACTATTTTGTTCATTCCACCCCCTCCCCCACTACAAACCCACCCAAGGGAAACAGGTGCTAATTAACAAAGGACTGCCTTTAGTCTATAGCTAAGTTCCGTCTAGACCTTCTGGGAAAAGTGACTTCTCCTGAAGGGAAATGACAGAAAACGAGACACTGGTGAAGTTTATTCTACTGCCAAACTTTCTGCTTTCTCAAAAGGAATAGCCAGGCGGGGTGCCGGTGACTCACTTCTATAATCGTAGCTACTCAGGAGGCTGAGATCTGAGGATCATGGTTCAAAGCCAGCCCAGGCAAGAAAGTCCGTGAGACTCTTTTTCTCCAATTAACCACCAGAAAACCAGAAGTGGCGCTGTGGCTCAAGTGGTAAAGCTCTTCCCTTGAGCTGAATGGCTCATAGTCAGTGCCTAGGCCCAGAGTTCAAGCCCCAAGACAGACAAAAGAAAGGAAGAAAGCAAGAGAGCCAGGCAGGGGTACCTTGGTACGGATGATGTTTTTGTCATTCTCGATGTCTGGCATGGTGTCGAAGTCACTCTCCTCCACGGAACTGTCCGTGTCTGACTGGCATGGCTGCCCACCCTCAGACGAGGACACCTGCCTCCCAGGACTAGAGTTTGACTCATCTGAAACAGAAAACTCATCTGCCATGAAAAGCCAAGAACAGCCCATGGAACCCATTCTTCTGCATAAAGCAGATCGACACCTAGAAAATTCCATATTGGTCCACAAGAATTCCTTAACAGGAGACATGTGCGTTTCCCCACCACACCTGCCCCGCACCGTTTCTCCTATCTTTATAATTAACTTTCGATTTCTATACATGAATGCATATTAGGATATAAAGGCATCTGCTCTTTTAGCTTTTTGGATGCAAAATAACATTGTGCTTAGATTTCATGTTTCATATTTTTAAAATATGAACACAAAGATACCAACATCCACATGCACGCTGTTATGTGTTATGTATAGCATCGATCACATATATGTGTATGCATACACATATCTAGCAGCTATACATTTCTCACACATAGAGAATTTATCTGCAGACATCTCCCACATGCTATGTCTATGGTTATATAATGGAAAGAACATTCTCAGGAAGCAGGATTCTTCTGTTCCCATGAATGTTTCTAAGAGCAGATGGAATTTGTGCAGCTTGAGCACATGAGCAGAGCCTACCATCAGCTTTATTTCTTCTTTTCAGATGCTTAAAAAAATCCTGTTTTTACAGAACTAAAAATAAGTAGCCTACACTGAGCCCACATGCTCAGTTACAGAATGACAGGGAAGGAATACAGGACTCCCAGTCTCTCCACATTGAGATATATAGAGACAGAGTCCCGGGGCTTGAACTCAGAGCCTGGGCACTGTCCCTCAGCTATTTTGCTCAAGGCTGGTGTTCTACCATTTGAGCCACAGCTCTATTTCAGGCTTTTTGGTGGTTAATTGGAGATAGGGTCTCATGGGCTTTCCTGCTCGGGCTGGCTTTTTTTGAGCTATGATCCTGAGATCTCAGCCTCCTGAATAGCGAGGATTACAGATGTGAGCCCCCGATGCCAAGTTCACACGGATATTTTAAGAAGCCTCATTCACAGGCCTAGAAGCACCATGGAAGGGTCAGGCAGCTCAGTGCATGTCTACTCTCACAAGACAGGTTTGAGGACTCTGTTCCCTTCAGCTGTTTACTGAACTCTGGGTTTGGCAAGGGAATGACTGGGTGGCAGTGAGCAGGCTCAGGTGTGAAGTTAGCCAAATGCAGGCCACAGCCATGTTCACCTGCAGCACTGTCTTAGTCTTCTGCTGGCCCTTACTCCTCTGACACCTGAGAATGAAACAACCGGTCAATTGTTGTCAGGCTTGCTGTGATGCATTTCCCATGCCATACAGTCAGGCTGGGTATGTAAATGTTCCCCAGGGCTTGGTAGTTGATGGCAAAAACTGCAGTTAGCAAGTCCCAAAAGAAGGAAAATAGAACTGCAGAAAGTCAGCCTGGCAGAAACCTTCCAATACTTCCAATCAATTCATCTTATACATAAAAGACAGTTTCATAGGATGAGGCGAATGCTCAGAGTGACTGGAAGCCAAAGGCCCTTTGTATGCTAATCTCTGGAAAGTTAGGAAACAGTCCCAACATTAGATTCAATGTAGCAAATACCTATGGCCCCATAATTGCTTCCTTCAGGTGTGCTGGCAGAGATGGGATGTGACACCATATTTCCAGAGCCTGTGGGGAAAAAAAAATCCAGAGGCAAACACTTTAACATACTTTCTAACTTACCCTTTAAAAAACTAATAAAAAAAATAGCTGGGTGCTGGTGGCTCATGCTTGTAATTCTAGCTACTGAGATCTGAGGATTGTAGTTCAAAGCCAGCCCTGGCAGGAAAGTCTGGGAGACTTTTTTTTTTCTCCAGAGCTCGAACAGATATAAATAATTCATTTAGCTCCTAGCTCAGAGTTCTTTCATCCTGTCTTGATAACTACCATGAGACTCTTATCTTCAATTAACCACCAGAAGTGGCACTGTGACTCAAAGTGGTAGAGCACTAGCCTTGAGCAAAAGAGCCAGGGACAGCACCTAGGCCCTGAGTTTAAGCCCCATGACTGACAATAAATAAATAAATAGCTGGTTCCTGGAAGAACTGCAGGGTCAAAAGAGCCTGAGTTTGGAATGACTGTGAGGACATCTATTGAACAAGAACACCAGAAATAAATTTCTACAATTAAGTCACAGGAGTTTGGGATTTATTTGTTACACCTTTTAAGAGTATCCCAACCCTACGTAAGAAGGAAATTGCTCCACTACCAAGAGCAATAAATGATGATAGCATGCATTATCAGTTATGTTGGCAGATATTTAGGATGTAGAACAGGTGTAAATGTTGCCATCTGCTCACTGAAAATGAGATTAAAGTAGACTGTAAGTTAATGGTCCCCCAAACCCTTCTAATGAAGTATAGTTCTAGAAACAGGGAGAATGATTTTAAAGCTCTGAGAGTCTATAGATACCTCTGTAGTCAACCTACGACATGAATCAGAGAAAAGTATCTCCCAAATGTCTTAAAGTCTATGGGCTAAGATGCTATCTTGGCTTTTGTATGTGTGATGTAAAAGAAAAACCGAAAACTAAAATCAGAGCAAGAGAACAAACAAACTGCATAGGTCTGTTGACTTTAGTGAATCACATTTCTGAGCTCTATGTGTCTCACACTGAGCAAGCTCAGGCTTCTGCTGCAGCTGCTGGCTGACCCTGATCACTTTAAGGCATAGTTCTATGATAAATCACATTTTCATGCACAATACAAGTGTTAGGCAGAAAAGTGTTTTAGGGGTTGCGTGGTCTTGGCTCTGCACAATTTACATATGAGATCAGCTTGTCTGGGGTGTTTTGTCAATTTTGTTTGTGGGTAAGGTCTTTCAGAATGCAAAAGCAGACTGAGGCCAGGCACCTGTAATCCTAGACATTCAGGAGTCTGAGATCTAAGGATCATGTTTGAAGCCAGCCTGGGCAGGAAAAATCTATGAGACTCTTATCTCCAATTAACTACCAGGAAACCAGAACTGTGGCTCAATGTGGTAGAAAGCACTAGCCTTGAGCATAAAAGCTCAGAGACAGTACCTAGGTCCTCAGTTCAAGCCCCACAACCAGAGGGGAAAAACAAAGTAGACTGAGACTGTAGCTTACTGTAACAGTGTTTGCGTAGCATTTGTGGAGTCCTAAGTTTGATCCCCAACATTAGAGTCTGAATGAAAAAACCAAACCAAAGCATTTCCTTCCAAACTTCAAGTATGATCATATTTACATTTTTAGCTGTAGAGTATTTAGAAAGCAGAATTAAACACAAAATAACAGTTTATAGGACAGATCGAGATGTTCTGGCTGAGAATAGCAGACACAGGATTGTGAATGAGCTCATCTTCATGAGGAAACTTTTAGTATGGTTTTCTCTGTGGAAGCGTCACTTGCCATCTGTCTGCTTCCCTCACAGAAGAGCATATTCTTGCATGTCTGGTTTTTATACTAAATGCTCCATATGAAGAGAACAAATTAATTTCCTGTTGAATGTGTTTAGGTCTTTCAGAGACTTCATATTTGTGGTTGTCCTGCCCCCTTCTGTCTGTGAAGCTGTAGGAGAGGGAGGCTGCAGAGGGAGTCAGAAATGACGGGAGCTAGCTGCCATGAAATTTAATTTTCATGCCATCTGGTTACCAAACCCAACGAAATCTCATTTTGTGTTTCAAAAGTTGAGGAGGAAGTGAAGAAAATCATTCATCTTTACAGAGAGATGTAAAAATAAAATTCCTCTACAAGGAAATAAAAAGCTGGCACAAGAAAAATCAAAAGAAGTTTAGGAAAAGAAGAGTGGAGAGACAAAACTGCAATTTGAGACACTCTGAGGCTACAATTTGCTAGGGAGGTTGTTGAACTCTTTTGTTGTTGAGTCCTCCAAATTCCTCTCTTTTTTCCCCCCTCACATGGACCCTGCTTTTTTGCTAGGAACCCAATTTGGTGATGTCTCTTTCCAGAGAAGGATTTGATTGGCACGATGGTTTAGAATGGATTGAATGCATCCCTCAAAGGGATAGTAGCTGGGGTTACACGTGTGAGTCACTGGACACTCTGGGCCATTTGGTGCTCTCTCTCTCTCTCTTTCTCTTTCTGTCTCTGTCTCTATCTGTCTCTGTCTCTGTCTCTGTCTCTCTCTCTCTCCCCTCCCCTTGGCCATTCTTTCTCTCCTCTCTTCTCTCTCTCCCCAACCCCAGGCTCCTTAGTGCCTGTTCTTACTTTAAACAGCTAGGTCTTTTCTCACTAGTGGTCATGACACAGGGGAGGACCAGCTTCCTGTAGTTTCCTGCTCACTAAGCTGGCACTTTGTTCAATTATCTCTGCTTCTGGCAGCTGATGCACTGATTTTTTAAAGTGGAGACAAGAAGGAAGCTGTAGTGCCCTAAAAGAACATTTGTCAGTGTTTGGAGACATATTTTCAGTTGCCTCAATGAGGAAGTGTGGTACTGGAATCCAGTAGGTGAGGTGAATAACACCCTGCAGTGTATGGGACAAACCCTAATAACAGAGAACAATCTCGCCTGTAGTGCCAATAGTTCTGAGTTTGAGAAATCTTGCTCTCAGATAAATAGGGCCTCACACTAATTCTCAGAGCAGGTTAATGTGTAACGTGTTGGTAAACTTACTCCTTCAGTGAGTAGTTTAATAGTAAGTATACGATCCACTCTAGACCGTGGAACACCAGAAAGTGCCAGAGGCTTCTTTTTTTTCTCTTAATATATATTTTTTATTGTAAAGATACTGTACAGAGGGGTTACAGTTTCATGAGCAAGGTAATGAGTCCATTTCCTATTGAGTAATGAGTCCATTTCCTTTGTTTTCCCCTACCATCCCTTTCCTCCCCACCTCCCCAACTCCCCCCCCAAAGTTGTAAAGTTTGTTTTCAATGGGTCACCCTGTATCCTTATTTTAGCATTTTGTTATTTCCATCCCTCTCCCCAAATTAGAAAAATGTATATGCAAGATTCAGGACACGGGAATCGAATACAGTGACAACAGGGGTTGTACCAAGGGGAAAGAACGTACAAAGAAACTAGCGCGGCTGAAATCAACTCCTTTTGTAATAGCCGCACAAAAAATAAAATACCTAGGAGTTAACTAAAGAAGTGAGGGACCTCTATGACGAAAACTTAAAAAAAAAAAAAACTGAAAAAGGAAATTAAAGCAGAACTAAGGAAGTGGAAAAGCCTCCCATGCTCCTGGATTGGGCAGATTAACATGCTGGAGACTTCTGATAGTTCCTTCCCTCCGGCATTGTCAGGTGAGATAGGAGTCTTGATGTATCTCCCCAACCGGGAAACAGAACTAAGGGAATGGCAGGAAAAGGGACCAGAGCCTCATGACTCCTTCAGTCCTGACGTCCACTTCAAGGCATAGGAGCCTCTTTATTGTCTAAGCAGGTTTCAGGTATATTTTCTTGTGATTGCTATTGTTGCTTACAATTATATAAATGTCAGTGGTATGTCTATGTTTTTTTTTCAGTTGCTCATTTGTTTCTGCTTGTTATTCAAAGGGTGCTTCTAACTCTTAGCTAATTTTCACAGCCTTCCTGACCTTAGACAATAATCTGGTTTAAGTGTCAGTTTAGTGGATTTATGCTTTGATCTTCCAGAGACCTTCTGAACATAGAATTCCTTTACTTATTATTGTAATACTAAAATGACATTAGCTATACAATGAAAAATAACAGATCATCCATTCTAAGGGTACCTAAATGGAATCCAATGCTCAAGTTCAACAAGGCCTAAAATAATAGCAAATTTGGGGAGTGTTGTAGGAACAAACAATGAGAGCCAGCCAGTCGATAAAGTTCCTGAAACATTTCCACAAATAAAAGGGAAATTAGCGCTAACACTTTAAAGCCACAGAGCAGGTGTTCTTTGACAGTCTTATATATTTGCAATTGAATGTTTATCCAAGCAAAGTGCCTGGGTGGTGGAAAAATAGACATGCTGACTTTAAAGAAGACAAATGTAAAAAAAAAAAAGAAAAAAAAGAAAAACAAAACAAAAAAAGCAACCTTTCAGCAAAGGGAGAAATGTCCTGTTGGGAGGGGGCAGGGATGAGTTCCTGTGTCTTTTTAAGATTCTGTGGACTCAGTGAAGTGTGGAAAACAGAAGGTAACATCTGTTACATGGGTCTCAAAAATCAAGTCCTCCTCATTCCTTTTTCAAATTCTTACTCTGCAAAATAGCTCATGAATGCTGATCAAATAGGCATTGCAAAAATAAGCACAGCTAAAAATTTTAGTTGTAATAAGATCAGATAATTGAATTCTTTTCTGAAAATTCTCAGAGGTGAGGAAAAGGTGGCTTAAATAGTTATTTATTCTGGATTCCATAAAGTTGTAGTCTTTATTAAACCTGTTAGTCTCAAAGATTTCAGCTTTCTAAATACTAAACAACAAAAGCTTCTATTCCTTCCAACATGGGAAAAGTAAACCTTTTATGAAAATTCTCACGAATTCTTACTATTATTCTGGAATCAGCTTTGGGATAATATAAGCATGAATAGTTATATCCTAGAAAAGAGTAAATGTTTAAAAACGAATAGTTGATGAGTGGGGTGTGAATAATTACAAAGGTCACTCCACCTTAAGCTTCTTAATGTGAGCTCTATTCTCATAATTACCAGTTATAAAACTAGTTCTTGCTAGATCGGCCTTTTGTAGAAAGACTGCAAATTAGCCTTTTCTGTGGGATAGGGATCAATGCATATTTTTAAACTGCAAAAGACAGAGAGGCAAAAGATGCACCATTCATTGTTCAACATAGTTCTGAATTCAGACAAGGGATTTTTTTTCTTACCGTCATTGGAACCAAAGCTTCCATCAATGGATTTTCTCTGAAACCTGCAAATAAACACATATATTTGCTGCTAGAGACACTGAAAATTTCAGCATTTTACATTTGTTTCTAATATACTTTTTTGTGAATCTGTCTGCTAGGTGTCTGAAATGGGTTTTGGAGGTAGAGAAATTGGAATCTTGGCCCATTATGGGTGGGAATATAAGATGGTAAGTCACTTTTGAAAACAACGTGGCAGCTTCTGAAAGTGTTAAGCACAGAATTACCATGTGACCCAGCAACATTAGTCCAGGCATATACACTATTCCAGGTCATTAATCGATTGCCTATTAATGTCAGATAACTTACGTGCCATAAGATTCACCCTTTAATATACACACTTCAATTAATTTTAGTATGGTCACAAAGTTGTACAACTATCATCACTATCTAATTTCCAAATATTTCATTACCTCAGAGGAAATCCTTTATCCATTATCAACCATTCTTGGTAGACTTATCTGTGTCTCAATATAAATCTCCTTCTCTTGCTCCTTCTCCTCCCCTCTCTCCTTTTTCTTCTCCTTTGTTTTCTCTTTTCTTTTCTTCCATATCCTCCTCCTCCCTCTCTTCTTCTTCTTTGAACTCAGGACCTTGTGCCTGGCTTAGCAAGTGCTCTACCACTTAAAACATGCCCTTAGTCCTTTTTCCTTTCCTTACTTTTTGAATAGTCTCCCATTTATGCTAGAGTTAGCCTGGACTGCAATCTTCCTATTTATTCCTATTTATATCTGGTAACTGGATGACAACTACATAGCACTGGGCTCCATTTTTTATTGGTTGGAAATAGGGGTTTTGTGAACCTTTTGCCCAGGTGGCCTTGAATAGCAATCTCCCCAATCTCTGCCTCCTGACTAGCTGGTGTGAGTCATAGCTCCTAAGTATTGTTTCATACATGTACTGGCAATTTGCATATTGAGAAGATATTAAGATAGAACATGTATGAAACCTAACTATTTAAGTCCTTTGCCATTTTAAAATGGACTTGCTTTTTTGATCAGCTGTAAGAATTTTTGTGGGTTTTTTTTTTTTGTTTGCTGCTCCTGAAGCTTGGACTCAGCCTAGGCACTGTCTCTGAGCTCCTTTTGCTCAAGGGTTGCGCTTTATCACTTGAGCCACAGTGCTACTTCTGGCTTTTTCTGTGATTTTATTGGAGATAAGAGTCTCACAGACTCTTGCCTGGGCTGGCTTCAAACCACGATTCTTAGATCTCAGTCTCCTGAGTAGCTAGGATTACAGGCATGAACCCAGCTAGTTGTAAGAGTTTTATTTATAAAGTCTGGATGTTAGACTGTTACAGATACATGATTTTCAATTTTTTACTCCCATTTTGTATGTTGTCTTAAATCTTCATTGTTAGTATTTTTAAAGCACAAAACTTTTCATTTCATAAAATACAATTTATCTATTATTTTCTTCTATTTCTTTTGCTTTTGGTATCTAAGAAATTATTTCCCAATACAAGGTCACAAAGATTTACAGCTATGTCTTCTTCTAGGAGTCTTCGTAGTTTTAACTCTTTCACTTACATCTTTGATCCATTTGGAGTTGAATTTTGTACCTGTTAGGAGAGGGAGGGCGGCACCGTTCTTTTTGCCTGTGGGTAGTTGTCTTTGCGTCATTTGTTAAAAAGAATATCCTTTCTTAGTTTAATTGTCCTGGTATCACATTGAAAATTGATTGACCAAGATTTTAACAGTTTGTTTCTGAATTGTAGATTCTATCCCATGCTTTATGCCATATGTCCTTCTTTTTTTTGGTTGTTCGTGGGGCTTGAACTCTGGGCTTCGGCACTATCCCTCAGTTCTTGAGCTCAAAGTGAGCGCTCTACCTCTTGAGCCACAGCGCCACTTCCGGTTTTCTAGTGGTTTATTGGAGATAAGAGTCTCACGGACTTTCCTGCCCGGGCTGGCTTAGAACAGTGATCCTCAGATCTCAGCCTCCTGAGTAGCTAGGATTACAGGCGTGAGCCACCGGCGCCTGGCACCATATGTCCTTCTTAATGTCAGTCTTAGAGTCTTGGTTATCCAAGCTTTGTAATGAGGTGTGTGTGCATGTGTGTGTGTGTGTGTGTGTGTGTGTGTGTGTGTGTGTGTCTGTCTGTCTGTCTGTCTTCCTGTCTGTGCACGCGCATGCGCACGCGCGCTTGAACTCAGGTCCAGGTGCTGTCCCTTAGCTTTTCTAACCATTCTAGCTGTCAAGCTTGTTAACTATTTTAATGATATTGACCTGCAAGCAATTATACAGATTCATAGAAGATGATGGCTTCGTCCATTAGAGGAGTTCATTAGAGGAGTTCATTAGAGGAGTTGAATGATTTATAAAGCTAGAGTGAGACCAGAAGTATCCAGTCAACAAATGTAAAAATAACAAATGAGAGCCGTTCTCGATTGATTGCAAGATAACTATTATCTTGTCAATGAAAAGGTCATTGAACATCTTCATCTGTGGAAATGGGGCTGTACTCATGACTTAACTCCCCTTTCAGAGGGATGAAGGGAAAATACTTTTAAATCTACAGCTGCAAGTTTCCTGTTATCTTTCTTTAAGATACAATTATCTTAGCCAAGCCGACAGGAGGATGACAGACCAATGTCTCTGATGCCAGTCTAAGTGAACCAGTTCTAGAGAACCTGTCAACAGACCATTTCTAATAGGACCATCTTGTTGACCCATGGGTTCATGATAAACTTAAATATTCATGACTGTATGTCACTGGAGGGTTTTTTGGGCTTGTTTTGTTTTGTTTTTTGGTTGGTCATGGGGCTTGAACTCTGGGCCTGGGTGCCGTGTGCTCTTCAGCTCAAGGCAAGCACTCTACCTCTTGAGCCACAGTGCCACTTCCAGTTTTCTAGTGGTTTGTTGGAGATCACAGTCTCACAGACTTTTCTGCCCGGGCTGGCTTTGAACCATGATCCTCAGATCTCAGCCTCCTGAGTAGCTAGGATTACAGGCGTGAGCCACTGGCACCCAGCTCTACTGGAGTTTTTGTTGTTGTTTTTCTAAAGCAACATGATTGGATATCAATAAAAGAATCAAGGGCAGGGTAAGTAGTCAGGATCCAGCAGTTTGGATATGACATATGATATGGTGACTGAAAACAAGATGAATTCAGTACTTGACCCAAGGTCTACAAGGGATTCAATAAATATACATAGAATGGATTGGGGGTGGGAGATGGAAAAGCAATGGTTTTTAAGTGTCAGTACAAGAGAAAACCACTTCAGATTCTGCTCTGTGAGATCATGTTTCATAAACATTTCTACCTTGATTTCTTCAATTTTCCCTACAACTTTTTTTTATGCTTAAGATGATGTATTAGAGGGGTTACAGTTATATTAGTAAGGTAATAAGTACATCTCTTGTCAAACTTGTTATCTCTTCCTTCATTTTTCTCCTACTTTCCCTCCCCCCTACCCCACCCCCAAGTGGTACAGATCATTTCCAACATATTGTCTTGTGAGCATCACTGTTGCATTGGTTCTCCACCTTGTCCTTTGTCTCCCCTTCCCTTCCCTAATTCAAACAAATGTATATTCAATACCAGGGTACGAAAATCAAATACAGTGACAACAGGGAATATACCATAGGGGGAAGAACATGCAAAAGAAACAAAACATCACATAGCAAATTAAAAACAACAACAACAAAGAAGAACCTTTTGTGTCAATGTCTTGGAGTTCATTTTGCTTAGCATCATCTTATATGGTCATATGTACAGAGCTATTGAGCTATTCTGCTCATCTGCTAAGATTATCCTAGACATGTGCTAATTATTGCAAATAAGTTGTCCTACAACTTCTATATGTATTAGTAACAAGCTATAGGAGATTCACCAATTGCATAACATTCTGTTGCAAAGAATGTTTTCATATGGTTTTGTAGGAAACTTTGGTTCACTTAATTCAATGGAAGAAGAGTTCTCCTATTAGCATATTCTCTCAGTCTGTTCCCTTGTTTAGGATGCCAACTTGGTCTTATGTTTCCAGATCTCTATTTTCAGTTTGTCTATATTTGGGAAGAATCTTTGCTTGTACATTTGACAGTAACAAAATATTCTGCAGTGAGAAGTTTCAACAGAGCCTTAAACCTCAACTTTCAAAAACTGTGCTCACTTCAGTTGGCTGAATAGTAACTTTTTAAAAAGTGAAAGTGCTTTATTGTTATTATAAAGGTGATGTACAGATTACAGTGACTCAAGTCAGGTAATGAGTATATTTCCTTTCATACAGTGTCTTCTGTTTCCTCACTCTCTCCTCCTTCCTGTTGAGTAGTAACTTTTGAGAGATTGATAACTAGCTAGCTGTTAATGTACTTTTTGGTCTATTTGTGTGTTGATTGTATATGTTAGCTAAATAAAGAGAAGTAAACCTATTTTCTAAAAATCTGACTCAGAAGACCAGAGATAGTATTCCTAAGAAAGGCAACAGAAACTTCTTTGCCATGATTGTGGAGCTTATCCCAGGTAAATTTGGGGCCTCATTTTTAATTGTATCCTTGCTGAGGGACAGGCCTTTAATGAGGCTTCCTTAGCAGAACTGTCTTCCCTCACATGCCCTGACCATTCTAGATCCATCTAGATCAGCCCACCTAAGACATAGTGATCAGGAGCCAGGCTGCCTGAGTTCAAATCCTAGATCCTTCATTTATTAATTGTGAATAATTGTTTCACACTTCTGTGTCTCAATTTCCTTAGCCATCATATGGTGATAATAACAGTATCCCTCTCTTCAAATGCAATAATTTATTTACAGTGCCTTGTACAGAGCAGATGTTGTTAATGACTATGATCTGATAAATTAGTTGAACTGATCATCAATTCATTTATATACTTTATAAGGATAATATTTGCTTGCATCTTAAAGTTTATTTTTCAACTCTTTATTCATAATTTCAAGTTGATGAAGAAATTTCAAGAATAAAGAGAATTATAAAAATCCAGGTGCTTGTGGCCCATACCTGTCATCCTAGCTACTCAGGAGGCTGAGATCTGAGGATTACAGTTCAAAGCCAGCCCAGGCAGGAAAATCCCTGAGACTCTTATCTCCAAATTAAACACCAGAAAATTGGAAGTAGTGCTGTGGCTCAAAGTAGAAGAGCACTAGCCCTGAGAGAAAAGGCTTAGGGATAGCACCCAGGCCCTGAGTTCAAACACCATAATAGGAGAGAGGGAGAGAGAGAGAGGAGAGAGGGAGAGAGAGAAAAGAGAGAGAAAGAGAGAATATGAGAAAGAATATGAGAGAATATACAGCACCCAATCACTTGTTTGTATTCCTTTTATCTTTTTCTCTGTCTACAAATATGTCTTATATATTTATATACATACATATACATTTTTTCTGTATCATTTGAAATAAGTTGCATATGTAATCAATGTTAGCCCTAAATATTTTTAAAGAGTAAAGATGTTCTCTTAGATAACTGCAATACCATCATTATCAAGCAACAAACAACATTGACAGGATACCTGCTAAGATCTAATGTCTATATTTCCATTGACCCAATAATGACCTTATGGCATATTTTTTCTTTTAGTATGGATCCAATTTGGGACCAGGTATTGCCTTTAGTTAATCTTTAATTGAAGACATTTGCCTATCCTTTCTTTGTCTTTCATTTTTCCACATGATTAGATTCAAAATATGCTCTTGCAGTATGCTACACAAGTGATGTGGTACCCTTCTCAGGGCAGAGAATCTGGATGCACAAATGTTTGTCTTCTTGGGGACAGTAATTTTGATTAGTCTGTCAATGCTTTATATGGATTTTTTGCAGTTATTATATAGTTTTTTACCATAAAAATGACTAAGCAATTTGTGAAGTCATATTTTCAGACTATACACATATCTTGATCCTTATCAGAGCTCCCTCTTAGATATAATATTAATGATTCTTAACTTGACCTACTCTTTACTATGAAGTTCACCAATGGATGATTTTTCCAGTGTTAGCACTCACGCCATATTTACCAGTCAGCGCTAAGTCTGCTGTAGGCCAAGGTCCTTCCTTTTACTATTAGTATTTGCAAATGATAACTTTTCCTTAATGGTAACTGTTCTGATAAATTTGTTGAATTCATTGGGTATATAGCTTCTTTTCTTTATAAGGATTCATTAATTTCTTTTTCTTGGTTGTTGTTTGTTTGTTTTGGTCCCAAATGGTTTGTAATTCCTTATCCCAATTATTGTGGTGCTCAGATTCTCCCAGATTTTCTTTTTGGCCAGTCTTGGGGCTGGAACTCTGGATTTGGGCTCCTAAGCTCCTTTTGCTCAAGGCTAGTGCTCTATCACTTGAGCCACATTACCATTTCTGGCTTTTTCTGTGATTAGTTAGTGGTAAGAGTCTCATGGGCTTTCCTGCCTGGGCTGGCTTCAAACCAAGATCCTCAGATCTCACCCTCCTGTATAGCTAGGATGATAAGTATGAGCCACCAGCACCTGGCTTTAAAGATGTTTTTGAAGGTAGAATCTCAACTGGAAAGCTTTAGGTCACAGAAGAAAACTTGTTTGACTTGTCTCACTCAGCCTGTTGTATCATTAAAGTAGCTGGGAGATTGTTCCACAGACCTGGTTCATCTTGCCTAATGGTCTCAAAGTCCTGGGTTGCCTTTTTTTTTTTTTTTTACAAGTTCTAAGGACATTTGTTTATTGTAAACCTCCTGCCATTCTTTTGTAGTTGCTTCACAGAGAACTCAAGAAGAATGAATTCTCAAAGCTCATCCCTGCTGGGAGAGGCAAAGAAACATTGGCTGTTTCATGAGGAGTCCCAGTTTCTTATGAAGAGAAGCATCTTTGGCCAAATTACAGCATGGTGCCTTCTTTTCTTGTCCCAAGGGATATTTTACTGGAAAGCAGATGCTACGCTAGTAGAAAAACACCTGGTAATGTGGTATACTATCATATCACTCTTGCTTTTTTATTGTATCACAAGATTTATTTGGCACATAAGAGTTGTTTTCTTTTGATAGAATGTCCAAGGTTGTTCCTAAATTTCTATGTTAGAAAGAATTGATCTTTTCCTACAGTCTGTAGATTTACAGTGAGTATTTTCTGATCTCAAAAAAAAAATAGGGGCTGGGAAGGTGGCTCAGTGGTAGAGTGCTTGCCTTGCATGCCTGAGGCCCTGGGTTTGATTCCTCAGCACCACATAAGCAGAAAAAAAATAGAAAAGTTGCCTTTTTCTTAAGATTTCCATTTAATAAAAACAGCCGACATTCTACCAGCACTGGTTATGTACATAACCTTGACATAAATACTGCAAGTTACACTATCTCATTTTTACAGTATCTCCTTTTTCCAGATGAGAAAACTGAACAGGAGAATAAGTAGTTCATCCACATTCCTACAGTTAGTGGCCAAGGTAGCTTCAAACCTAGTCTAATGCCTATGCTTTCAGCATCATACAGAGACTGGCAAGGAGGGTTATTCGTTCTTGAAACTTTTGACCTACCTCACATAATGAATGAACACAACAAGCAGGCATCCCAGGTAGAAGGACAAGAAGATGAAGACACTGAAAAGGCTGGATTTCACATACACGGATCCTGAGGACAGAGAAATAACCTTGGTCAGGTAGTCCTCAGGAATAGGAGGACTATGTTTGGGGCATGACAGCTTAAAGAAGACACCTTTCTCTTTCTCCATCATCCTCACACACCTATTCTCTGAGTGTCTGTCTTTCCCTGTCATCTCTGTCTCTTTTTTCTTTTCTTTTCTGAGAAAGAAAACACAATGTGGCATAGGTTACACAGCCTTCACTTTATAATTCACCTGCCTTCTTCCTCCAGAGTACTGGGATTATAGGTATGTTCTACCACCTCCAGCTTAATTCATTTTTAAAGCCCAAGAAACTTTCATTTAAAATGGTTAAGCTATTGAAGATCACTCAGATGTTATTCACTAGCTGCTGCCTTCTTAGTGATGATTTCTAATGGGAGCTGTGAAGGAACTGTTATCTACAGTAGAATGGGTGTGTAGAATTGAATCTACACTCATCCTCAAAGGAACGTAGAGCCCTTGGCCTCATGCTAGGTAAGCATTCTACCACAAGACATATGGTTAGCGTGTGCCTTTCTTTGGATTTCTTAGGATGATACTCTCTGAGAGAATGCCATTAGTATTGAATGTTCTAAAAGTTTTCCCGACAGCATTTTCCCCATCAAACTCTAGAACCAACACTAACCTTCAACAGAAGGAATGATGGTCACCTTTAAGTTCTTGGTTCGTTGTAGATTCCATGTCTGGTTCTCATTTTCTAGCAAACAAAACAGGAAACAAGGTACAGGCACTATAAGTTAGATATTAAGTTCTTGTCTTGTCTTCTGAACAATTCTACAAGAATGTCCACAATCAATTCTGCTTGTTGAAGAAGAACTGGCAGGAAAACCCGTGTTCCAACCTTTCAACAATCTAACATTGGCGGTTACAGCTTTCAGTTTGGCCTTTACTTGGATGCATTTTGACTGATCTGAGTGAAATGGGAGTACTGCCTTCTTTCTCCACTAGGGAGGGGTGTGACCCTTCTGGCATCTATAGGTGTATGAAGAGACAAGGTGCAAAAACAGAAAGCTATTTTTCCTTTAGTTTGCTTTCTATTCTAGTCAGTAAAAATTTGTGTTTTTGTTACCTAGTCACCAAAGGACTTGTAGTTAATCAAGGAATATTAGACACTGGTCAAATTCTAGAGTTACATAGTACACTAACAGAAATGTCAACTAATTACCAAGCAAGCCATGTTACACTCACTGATAAACGCCCACTGAGTTGGTGACGTGTGGCTCATCTATGTGTTCAGTAGCCCAGGATATTCATAAGTTACTCGCCTATCTGTAGATGTCTAAGATTCTACATACCCCTCATCACTGTGAGAAAGTTATGTTTTTGCTGTCTTGTGAAGTGCCGTTCTGGCAACTGGAATGGTGAGCTCTAAACTTCACTTGTACATCTCTGTGGAAATGATGATGTCTTGGGAAAGTGTGTCAGATGTTACTGCACAGTGGCAAATATTTGCTGAGTAAAAGATCTGCTGTATAGTGAACTGACTATGTAGCCTGAGGGAGTCTAATACTTTTATATAAAGTTGAAATGTGCTAATTGGAGTTTGCAGTACCAATAATATCCTTACGTTTATTGCTTTTCATTGTGTTTTTATTTTCCTTTGAGTGTATCTCTCAGGACTGTCTTTCCATTGCCGATGAGCCATTAGCGAGAACATGATGAACTTTTGGCTTCCCTTTGTCTCCTTTCCTCACTATGTCTTACCCTGGATGAAGAATGATCCTCCGCAGGCATAATCTTCAGGTTTGATCACAAATACCACGAAGAACTGCTCGTCTGGAAAATCCTTCTTCTGTAGGAAATAGCAATCTTAGGCAAGATATGAAAAATGGAGAAGGGAGAAAGCGCATGGCAGGGGTGGGAAGGGGGTGTCCATAGTTGAGGCCATGCTTTCGAGCTTGTAGCTGGTATACATGACTAGAATGTGTTTAGTTGCTTCAAATGGGTCTGCTAAACTTCATCCTAAATTGCACTCCCACCCCCAATGAATAGATTGGAATCTTCAGGCCTTTTCTCTAAGAATCTTCAGATATATGTCCCACTACACTATGGGCTTCCCAAAATCCCCAAGGAGAGAAGATCCACTGGCAGAATAGCATTGTTCACAATTACCCAATACCCATATTACCCACAATCCAATTACCCATAGCAATCCTGGTTTTTAAGCCAACCAGGAAGGAAGGAGGTGTAAGGGAGACAGTAGGTAGAAATCTCTTTTGGATGCTGATTCAGCGATATACACTATCAAATCAACATTGCCATCGACAATAGTGATGACAAAGCCATGTCTCACCTGCAGCGTGATGGCAGCTTTCTTGGTCATAGACTGATAGACACCATTAAACTCCACGTTGTGGTCAAGATCATACACAGGGCACTATAGTATCCATGAGGAGTAAAAAGTAAGCAGTTCTTCATGTTAATTAGTGAGTTAGTTAAATTAAATTAATGAACTACATTCTATTAGGGCCCTTCTACCTGGATCACAGAGCAAGAGAATCTCATTAAACCAGGATCCAGAATGTTTTCTGCAAAATAGTGATGAAAACGTGCTGGCTTGTCCTCTAATGTCAAGGTCATTTTTAGAATGAAGAAAGCTATGAAAAGGTTGTCTTAAAATATACAACATATTTCCCATGTTGTTTTTAGAATACCTTCTGAGTTAGAAAGAACCATTACAATAAACATTTAAAAAGAACAAACAAGCTTCCATTCTCTTTTTCTCATGGGACTCACAACTTCGTCTTCTTAGTCAGGTGTGATAAATCATCCCTCCTTTGTTTCTTCTTTCCTTGGTTTTGGTGAGAAGTTAAGTGTTCTTCCTCTCTCTGTCTTCCCTCCCTCCCCGCCCCTCTGGTTTGAACTCATCGTACAGATTGTCCTCTCATGTGCAGAAGATATTAGTTTGTTTTTGTTTCATAGTTTGAAGGGAGATACATAGTAAGATGTCAGAGTTCTCATCCTCTCTCTTTTTTCATTCTAGGATAATATAGTCTTATGCATTAAAAGGTGGATAAGTATCAGCACTTACCATGATGCTCTGGACTGAGACAACAGAACATGGATAAGCCATTTCAGACACCACTTTAATGATAACTGAGTCCACTTCTTTGGGGAATTTGTATAGAAAATACTGAAATAAAAGAAAGACGTAATTTATTAATGTTACAACATTGTTCGCAGTTATGAGCTCAAACTGTTTTAACACGCCTCAGCTATTAACATGCCTCACTATTAAGCATACAATTTACATACATATCTCAATAAATCTTCATTCTTTGAGTCAACCATCTTCTCACACACAGTGAACAACTAACTGCTTGGCAGAGGGCTCTATGCCAGACTTCAGGAAAATATAAGGCAACATAGCCCTTCACACAGTGTTACTATTCCATTTCATGGTATGGCCATTTCTTTTCCAATTAAACTACACTACACTTCATTCCATTTCCTACTTGAGAAGTTGTATAGCACCATTGGTGTCTTCCACTCCCTTCTCCACAGCCTTTAATTTAGGAGTCTGCACAGAATATAATGAGACATTTATTTCCTTGTGATCATCGTGAAACATAAAGGTCTCTTGGAAAAACAGATAAACCTGTTCTTCAAGAATTTTGACTACTTTCTTATCAGCAAGAATTACCCCTATGTTAATCTTTTCCTGGACCTTTGGCTAAAGAATCCATTGCCTAGTTAGACTATATTAACAAGATATTTAGATTCAAAGACTCAGCCTGACATCTAGCTTCTGAGACACATTCACAAATTTTGGTAAGCAGGGGTATCTCTGAAATTACTTCTCAAATATCACAAGCAAAGACTTTATAATAGAGAGAGATTATACCAGTTACCTGTATATATTCTAAATCCATCAGAAAAAAAGATATTTGCTCTTAAGTTTTAAACATGTCACTAATAAGGAAGAAAGGAGAAATCTGATCAAGAATTATGAATGTGGCAGTTGGATGGGGAGCTATGTCTAGTTTGTAATTGAAAAGTTAAGCCAGGCGCCAGTGGCTCATGCCTGTAATCCTAGCTACTCAGAAGGCTGAGATCTGGGGATTGCAGTTCAAAGCCAGCCCAGACAGGAAAGTCTGTGAGACTCTTATCTCCAATAAACCACCAGAAAACCAGAAGTGGTGCTGTGGCTCAAGTGTAAGGCACTAGCCCTGAGCTGAAGAGCTGAGGGACAGTGCTCAGGCCCAGAGTTCAAGCCCCATGACTAACCCCCCCCAACAAAAAAGTTGAAGAAACTGACACAAACAAGACTGATATCCTAAGACTTTAATAACTCTCTCACTTATTAAAGAGAACAAAACATGTTCAAATTTAATTTGTTATTCCAACATTCCTTTTGTAATTCTGCCTTGAGAACCAGTGCAATAAAAATAGAATGTAATCTTCATAATCTGAAGGTTTCTGATGGGGAAAGATTATTTTATGCTGCTGTCTGGAAGTCCCTTCATGAAGATGGGAACGCCACAAATATAAAGTTTGATAAATAAAATTTAGGGCTCTTCAAAAGGTAAAGAGTCCAAATCCCTCTAGGATGTCAGGGAACCCTATTTTGCCATTCAAGGTCATTACTGTGATTATTCTTTGCAATTATGAGCATAATATATATTCTTACATATACATATATGTACTGATTTTGCATAAGCATTTGTCAATTACTGAAACCTTGTCAACTTGCCAAAGTATTACTATTCTTATTTATCTCTAAGTTACAAAAACACCAAATGAATGTTTTTGATCCCTGCCCTGACAATGTACTTTCATTACAAAGAAGCAAATGGCAATCACTCAAAGAAATGGCTAGAATTTAGGTGAAAAATCACCATGTGTGCTCTGAATATCTATCCAGTTTCTGTGGCCAGTCAGTGCTGCTGCCTGTTTCTATGTATAGAAGTAGAGGAAGACAAAGATTGATGTAGGTTGTCTGAGAACTCACTCTGTCTGAGGACTCACTTACTTGGGTGAGTGTGTAAAAACAGAAACTCATTTCTACAACCAAAGGATACAAAATATAGGCCAAGATGGGAACTGTTAAGAGAAAAGCAAGACTTTCACACATATCAAAGACATTAGGTTTTATTAATTGTTCTAAGTATATTTCAACTCTAGTTTGGAGTTTGTATACAAATTATTTATACATCAATATTTATAGACTATTTAAAATAAAAAGAAGCCATAATATGCTTTATCACTGATTTTCAGTGACCTCATATTTGTTCTAGCTTTGCACAAGGATTTATCCTTTCTCTATTTAGAGTAAAAGTTGTTACCCCACCCCCCTTTTTTAGGTACCTCCATTGTATCTAGTAACAGCCAGAGCTTTCTAAATATTACCTGAATAAAGGCTCAATGCATGTCAAGGAAAACAGATCATGGCCTGTGATCCTCTCCTGCCACTGGGCGGCAGTGTGTGTGCTGGAGTGACTTTCATTGAAAGGGGGAAATGGAACTCTTATAAAGCAGTGTTGGCCTTTTCTGCTTGTCCTAGACATATAGTAGTTATTGCAAATAAGTGAAACCATGGATTTGAACCCCAAGATAGGGACACAAGAGGTTTTATCTTTCTTGATGCTGTTTTTAATGTACGTATAGTGTACTGTGTGATTTTTTTTGTTTGTTTCTTTTGTACGTTCTTCCCCTCATGGTGTAACCCCTGTTTTCACTGTATTTGATGTCAGTACCCTGCATCTTGTATACACATTTTTCTAATTTGGAGAGGGGAAGGGAAATAACCAAATGCTGAAATGAGGATACAGGCTGACCCATTGTAACAACAAGATGTACAAGACACTGTGTTGAAAATGAACTTTCCAGCTTGAGAGAGAAGGAGGAGGGAGAAGTTGGGGAGGTGGGGAGGGAAGGGATGGATGGTAGGGGAAAGACAAAGGAGGGGGTAACAACACTCAATAGGAAATGTACTCATTACCTTCCTCATGTAAGTATAACCCCCTTGTACACTATCTTTACAATAAAAAATATATATTAAAAAAAGCAGTGTTGGGCATGGAGATGTGGCTCGGTTCATAGATCACGAGGCTAGTACATATAAGGTCTATCACTGCAAAACAAAAATAGGAATGTGTTCATAAAGATCTGGAAGAGTTGATTTGCATGTGTATTTTCCAATTTGCTGTAGAATAACATCACTTTAGTAACTTGAAGTCAGCCATGGTAGAGAAAATATACCCCAGGAACAGGCAGAAACTATAAATCAGGGCTTCTCTTTGAGAACTAGTTGTTCAAATATGTAGCATGCCAGCATTACAGCAACTGTAATAGAATTATAACAAACCAGGTCAAAAACTAAGTAGCCATTTATGACCAAAGGTATGTCAAAGAGCCTACAGAAAATTCACAATAAATATCAAGCAATACACAAACATGTTTTAAACTTGCTGTTATGTTCATTCTTTTCTTTCAGAAGCCATGAAAGACAAAAGAAAAGTAGGTAAAATGTCACCAGAGAAACAGCTTGAAGAAATCAATGTTTTCCTGTCTTTATTCTCTTTATGATTGTGGTTTAATGAGGAGCACATCCAAAATAGCTAATTCTCCTAATACTATTTTTTTATCTGTATTCCTGCTCTCTATTTTTCTTTTCTTTATCTTTTTTCTTTTTTGTAGTACTGGGTTTGAACTAAAGACCTTGTATTTACTAAAGAAGTACTGTACCATTTTGAGCCATACTCTCCAACTGTCCTGTTCTTCATGACAGGGAAAACTAAATTTATTGCACCAATAATATTGTAAAAAATTTAAATTGTTTCCTCTTGTATTTTTACAACAATTATTGGTACATCTATCTGCCATCATATCTTCATTCCTCCCCCTGCCAACCCCAACAGGACAAAAGAACAGAACTTGAATCTTTAACTTTTTTATTCTGTGTCCCCTGCTCCTAGGCCAGTCTTAACACGGAGTCTGGAACATGGTAGGCACAACATGATTTGCTTAATAAAAGATTGTACCAAAGAGCAAATATCAGACCTCTCAGTTGATAGCAATTAAGGTGATGAAGATTAAATGTCCTGTCCAAAATCCCAGTAACATGAGCAACAATCTAGAATCCAAATCTATGTCAAACTGAGAGATCAAAGACTGAATCACACGCTGACTCTTCCCATTAGCATAATTTCTGTGAGTGAAACCAAAAGGTGGGCTCTTGACCACTTACCTGAGGTTGAGAGGGGCTGGCAGTGAAGTGAAAGGCATTATTTGTCCTATGATATGAAAGTGGGAAAAATAAAAGTGGAAGTTAGCACCCAAAAGATGATGGGATGATCTCTACAAACCAGTCCTTGGGGAGAGATGTATGTTTTTGTCCTAAGGGATTTTCCAAATTGCCTATCACACCTACTAAAATTCTTCTTCAAGATTTTGTCCTCCGTGGCTTAGGCCTTTTAAGGCCTAGTTTTTATTTGTACACACTACCAAAAGAGCATAATGAAGTTACTCACTTTCCAAATAGAAATACATATGATTATGAGAGACTTTAAGACAATGGTGCTCCAGGCTCTGCGGAGAAGGGAGTACACAGTTAGCATAAATCTACAGCACTCTGTGGAGGGAATAGCTGGGAAATCATTCAAGACACTGGGAGACAGGGGCAAGCAGTTCTCTACGGCTTTGTAAGGGCTACTGTCGGGCTTTTCTCTTTCTAGCTCTTGCCACATCACTTGTTGGCCTTGTAGTTCACGCACACAGGTCGGCTGCACCTCTGTTCCCAAGCAAATTGAGATGCTGTATCCCTCAGCAACCGGCACTTCTCCCTGAGCTGTTGGGAGCTGGAGCCTAAATTTCTGAGATAACTTACCATCTTTGTTTCCTGGAGCTTCTGTCCTGAATTTCCTTTATATAAAAATCAGTCTCGGGGCTGGGAAGATGGCTCAGTGGTAGAGCACTTGCCTTGCATGCATGATGCCCTGGGTTCGATTCCTCAGCACCACATAAGCAAAAAGAAAAAAGCCAGAAGTGGCGCTGTGGCTCAAGTGGTAGAGCGCTAGCCTTGAGCTGAAGAGCTGAGGGACAGCGCCCAGGCCCAGAGTTCAGGCCCCATGACTGGACCCCCCACTCAAAAAAATTCAGTTTCTTAGCAGGGTACTGTGAGAGCCCCCAAAAGCCAAGCTGCGAGGCCCCCAAGGATTGGGAGGATGGAATGCCTCCTCCCAACATGAACTCTCAGAATGCTAAGAGTTTCCTGAAAAGGTCAATTCGGGCCCAACTTGGTAGGAAATTCAGTTTTCTATTCTGGGTGTATGCTAATTCCACCCCAAACTTTCTGGGAGTTTAGGGACAGTTACAAGCCTATGCCAATTGTAAGTCCTTTCCTGCTTACATCTACTTCTTAAGATAAAGAAAGTTATTTATCACTGGAATAAGATTCTACTACATGACTGGTGCTTGTGACTTCAAAGATATCGAGTAAGAGTGTATCACATGATTGGTGCTTGTGACTTCAAGAATAGTTTGACCTCACTTTCTGCACAGACACCCCTGTATCCCACTCAGTAAATACCTTGTAAAATATACCTGGGGCGCCTGAAGCTGGTGGAAGGCTGCTGGCCCCTGATGCCCCAAACCTCAGTTCTATGGTCTGGTGGTTTCTGTCAGTCACAGCAGGTCACAGCAGGTCCCACCTGTCTTTAATCCTAGCTACTCAGAAAGGCTGAAATCTGAGCATCCGGGTTCAAAGGCAGACTCCTCCCGCTCTCCCCAGAGAAGCCTGTGACACTCTTATCTTCAATTAACAGACAGCTGGAACTGGTGCTGTGGCTCACAGTGGTAGAGTACTAGCCATGAGCAAAAGAGCTCAGGGACAGCATTCAGGCTCTGAGTTCAAGGCCCACCAAGGAAAAAATAAACAAATTTAAAAAATAAAAATAAAAGAATGGGCTGGGAAGGTGGCTCAGTGGTAGAGTGCTTGCCTTGCAAGCATGAGGCCCTGCGTTCGATTCCTCAGCACCACATAAGCAAAAAGAAAAAAGTGGTGCTGTGGCTCAAATAGTAGAGCGCTAGCCTTGAGCTGAAGAGCTGAGGGACAGCGCCCAGGCCCAGAGTTCAGGCCCCACGCCCAGAACCAAAAAATAAAAATATAAATAAAAGAATTAGTTTTTTAAATTAAACATTCTTCTAGAAAGGCCAATAGAAGCAAGATAAGTAGAATTAGAGGTGATATTTAGGAATCATGAAATTAGAACACAATTTATCAAAGCAAGAGCTATGAGATAGTTTGTCCTTGAGCTGGGCTCAAAGTTTAGTTCACAGCCATGGATGCAAGTTTTATATGTACACTTTGGACAAAAATCCCCATGCATGTGGAGGGTTGGTTCTGCTGAAATTCGGTTGAAAACTTTTGATCTTAAGCTTTCTAAAGAAGCCAAAATTAATGTCAAACCCAGTTGTATGTCAGCTTCAGAGAGTCCACAGCGAGGCCAGGACCTGCAGTGCTGTGTGTGGTCTGGGGGGAGCTCTTTCAGCAGTCTGGGGAATGTGACCTGCGGTTACCAGGGCAACACAAGACCTTCAACCAACCCTCTTGTTGCTAGGTCAGAGGAACACAGAGACACACAGAGATATCTTGGCTAGCCACAGACAGCATGACATTTCCTGAAGCAACCTGTGTTCTTTGGCCAGAAATTTGATCCTTTTTTTTTTAATCCCCTTCCCTATCATTTGAGTTTTAATTGTAATACTGAAATCTGCAGACATCAGTATGTAGTTTCTGGTTTTTTTCCTTGTTCTATGTGTTAATGCAATGCACACAACCTTGAAAGCATGTGAGTGCTTTGTTTCTCGTGAAGCCAACAGTATGTGCAAAATAAATATTATGTCTGTTGGGGATGGATCAGACATTCTGCTTCTTCCTGCATAGCCCCTAGCAGGGGTGGGGAAGGTTTATTTTATCAAGCATCACTAGCCAACAATCACAGAGCTAAAACTCAAAGGTACGTTTAGCTTTAGAGAAAGAAGAATCAAACTCTTAATTTATTTGCTTAAAAAATTAAGAACAAGAGAGTCATAAGATAGAAGAAAAAGAAAGGAGAGATGGGAAGAAGGATTGGGTGGAAAGAGAGACAGGACACAAGTTCAGCGGCTTAGAGGGGAGTTCCACAGAGGACCATCCTATATGAGCAAGCTCCGCACACAGGGCATGGATCTTCCAAACTCCAGCTTGTTTGTTGAAGGAAATGATATCCTATTATTCCTGGACTACGGACTCCAGAAAATTATTCTCTCTTATCTCCAGCGGGCCATCTGTCACAAGTCCCCTTCAGCAGCTCAAGCTTCCGATCAGTTCACTGGTCAACCCATCCCCTCCCTACCCTCTAGGCCCCTTCTGTATAACCTCTGCACTCACCATTAAGTCCTACCCTTTCCACTCTTCTCTGAGACTTAGCTTCCACAAATATCCAGCTCCCCTCCTCATTTCATCTGCCATGCTACTCTTTCCTTAAGAAAGAGACTCTCATCTCAACTACATTAAAAAATAATTAACAAACTACTCCAATAAAATTCCTCCCTCCTTCTTGTTTCTCCCTCCATTGAGGCCATTCTGGACCATCCTTTCCTTCATACAACCCAGCTGTTCCCATCATCCTCTGGATTTTGGGGTCACTAGCAATGCTGGTAGAACCGCAGAGGGGGGAAACACACGTCTCAGCTATCATCTTTTCTCAGCCTTACCTTGGTCTCAAAAAAAGTCCTAGTCATGCTCTCAGTGTCTGCTGCTGAGACTCAGTCATATTATAAGAGGTGCCAACCGGAAGCAATGTGACAGAATAGATTTGCAGTTTCATCAAATGCAAGTCATTCATTAGCACTTGCACAGAACTGTGAACCCATGACTTTAGTTTCACAGAATTCAGTTCTCCAAAGGGTCTAGTTACCTCATCAAAAGCTATCCCTATGATTCCTGTACATTGTCACCAGGTGACAGTGACAGGTAAAAGATACCAATGAATAAGGGCCACGCTTCTCTGAAAGTTCAGAGAAGTGCACTACTATTGGCATCAAGTAGAATTCCTACATGGTTTTTTTTTTTTTACCAATTTTTAAATTATTAAGTTAAACTTATTCATCATATTTAGAAAGTGCTTTAGTGGCTGGGAAGGTGGATCAGTGGTAGAGCGCTTGCCTCACATGCATGAGGCCTGGATTCAATTCCTCAGCACCACATACACAGAAAAAGCCGGAAGTGGCGCTGTGACTCAAGTGGTAGAGCACTAGCATTGAGCTGAAGAGCTCAGGGACAGCACTCAGGCCCAGAGGTCAAGCTCCATGAACGACAAAAAAAAAAATATATATGCTTTTAGGGTAGTGATTCACAACACTGGCTATATGTTAGAATCACTTAGGGAACTTAAAAAAAAGTGTGTATGTATGTATATATAAATGTGTGTGTGTGTGTGTGTGTGTGTGTGTGTGTGTGCATACCAGTGTCTAAGCTTCCCTGCTAGAGATTCTGATTTCATTGATCTGAGTGGGTCTTATCCACCAGAGAATATGTTTCCAATTGGTTTCCTGAGGAGGTGGGGGAGAAGAGAGTATTCTTTGCTATTAAGATGATCACAACGTCACAATATTAATGGAGAGACTTGGAGCAGAATGCTGTGGATGCTTTAACTTTATGGGAAGTCATTCATCTATTTATCCATCCATCTTGGTGGGTATTTCTCCATGTCAACGGTATAGAGAAGAGCAAGATGAAAATTTAATTCTTATTAACAACTCCACTGGCTACAGACCTTTTTATAAACGTCTCTAGAAAAACTTAGAGCTATATAATAGAACATTCTGATCAGATAAACTGCAAAAGAAAATGGCATGTACTATTTAAAGTAGTCTTATGTTTTAAAGAATTGATTTTTTATTGAAATATAATAAAATATAGAAAGTACATATGTTAGAGCATATATCTGAAAGAGTTATCATCAGGTAAACAAAGCCATTAAACTTATTTCTATTCAAAGATTGACTTCTAATATCACAGAATAGTTTGCCTGGTTTTATATGTTATATGTAATATAATGCGTTGATTCCATATATACAATATATATTATATTGATTCCATATATACCATGTGTCTATACATATGGAATCAAATATACATATATGTAATCAAATAACATGCATTTCTTTTGTCTGGCTGCTTTTGCTCAGCACTGTGAAACCTATTCTGGTAGTCAGTTATTTCAGTAGCTTGTTCATTTTTACTCTTGTTTATATTCTACTACTAAATGCCACAATTATACACAATCATGGGTGGATAACTAAAAGTGGCATTGCGTCATTGGGTCGTTCAAATTCTCATGCTTTGGTGTTGTAATGGAATCTCATTTTCAATTTAATAATTTATCCTGCTAGCTAAGGAAGATGTGTTATTGGTCTGTGTGGAAAGCTTCTTTGGTGAAGTGTCCAAGCATAATGCCTATTTTGTTTCAGTAAGGTTGCTAGTTTGTTATGTTTAAAACAAAATAAAATGAAACAAAAAAAAAACAAACTCAGGAACATAAACAATATGGGTCACTCCAGAGAAGGAAAAGAACCACATTCTTATCTACATTCCTAAACTGGAAGGAGCAAACTGATAAGGACAACCAAACAAGTTTAGTGTTTTCCTTAATGATGAAACGAAACTTCCTTCAAGTGTATGGTCATGGTTAGTCATAATCACTGCCTAACGTACCAAGTCAGCAGTAACTCTCACCTGAAGTACATAGAGAACTGGGTTCTCACTCAGACCCCCAAGCAGATATACCTATGGGGTCATTCTGTCTTTTATTTGGCACCAGCTGCTACCCCTTCCCCCTTTCACAGATTAAGGTCTTAGTGGGCAGGAGACTTCAGAATTAATATGCTAAGTGGCTAATTTCCTTGCACAGTGCTAATCTACATGGACAGAAGCACAACTGAACATCCACAGACACAGAAGACAACACACAGAGAAAGGCCACGGGTCCTACTTACTGGAGCTGGAAGTGCTTGATCTTGGTGACCAGCAGTTTGTAATGGGCACCAAGTGGTGCCATGGATGCAACATCTACAAAGATCAGTTGCTGCAAAGGTCCTGTTTTGTTCGTTGCTGTGGAGGGACATAAGGTGCGGCTAACTTCCTGGTAGTTGTAGCTCCTCTGGTATCTGCAGCAACAGTGGGCAATGGCAGCAAGAACAAGAAGTCTCAGTGAGCACACAGGAGAGCCTTTCCATGCTACGTCTGTACAAATTTGCTTTCCAGTACTTTATGCTCTGACCAGGTCACTCAGCAACATCCACTATGATTACATTCAGCCACCTTCCTAATTCAGTGAGGAAAAGTATGAACTTCTAAGAGGGGAAACTGCCCTGTTCAATTACCATTCTATTTTTCTACCCTTTGATTTTTTGTTTTTGTTAAAGGTAAGGAAACCCCTGGATCCAAGTTAAACTTGACAGAATTAGTATTTCAGTCCTCAAATTCCTAAACAGTGTGTGTGTGTGTGTGTGTGTGTGTGTGTGTGTGTGTGTGTTGGGACTAGAGATCTGAACTCAGGGCCTCATGCTTGCTAGGCTGCTTGCAATACTAGTGAGCTGTATTCCCAACCCTCCCCAACCCTTTAAGAATGATGTAATACCATACAAGCTGCCCACTTCCATATGCCTTGAATGTTTTTCTCTCTTATTTTTTAATGCTCCCAAGGCCTCAGAAAATTCACCTCTGCAAAAAATATGAGGCTAAGAAACTTTACTATTATTTTTCACAGCACTTACTACTTAGTAGTGCTCTCTACATGGTAGCAAAGATGTGTACATGGCAGATACGTTGAAGAATGAGGTTGATGTTTCTTATTCGTGTTGACTGTTGGGCCTCATTCACTGAAAGGCTACCAAGTGACCCACTTTTTAAAAACATTTTAGTAGAGTGATAGGTTGTAAAGTGGTGTACAGTTCTTCCAGGTGCTTAAAACTAAGTAGAATGGTCATCTGAAATTTTGAGGGGATGGGCATCGAGCAGCTTCATCTGGCATGCAACATATCTCAGCGTTCTCATGTCTGATTTCTCCTTCTGCTTCATAAAAATCAACAGATGTCTCTCTAGGTCATTGAAGAAAACCAAATGAAGTGAAGATGTCTGGGAAAGAGCACTTACAGTCCTTGGAAGAGCAAAGGAACCTGCCAGGACAGCACCTCTTTCTGCTGGCGAACCACAACTAGGACTGGGTAGGCAAGGTTCTCCGAGGAACTGTTCACATGCACCCGTACGGCGGTCACCTGTGTGAGAGGACAGAGAGAAGTAGCGCGAGCGCATGCACACACACACACACACACACACACACACACACACACACCTTCACTTAGGAAAAGTGATTCCTGACATTGCATCTCCTGATAAGAGACTTCAAATGTTCCAGCTGTTTCTTCTCATTAGTCTTGTAACAACTTTGACTACTTTGAAACTGTCCCCAGGGAAACTAAAAAAAAAATTGTTAACAGGTTCCAACCTGCCGAAATTCTGATTCAGTTGCTTTGGAGCGAAGCCAATTAAGGAAATTTTCAAATAGTAGGCTGAAGAATTTGAATAGAGTGGTTAATAGAAAAGTTTTGAGAAGCCCAGAACAGAAAAAGAACAATATTGATATCCTTCCTTATAATTTGAACATAAATATAAGTATCTAACTCCACTTTCCTCAAATTACCCTATACAACCCTCACCTCCAACAAACTATAATGTTGGTTTAGTAAACCATTCTCTATTTCAAACCAAATGATTAAGGCTTGTTTTATTACGGCCTCACTGATGGTCTATTCTTCCTACTGACAAACAGGATGCTTTCCAGGAGCAGGTGGTCAGGGGTCAAGCTCTTCATTTTGCTCTGATAGGAAAGAATCTTTTCTATCAGCAACTCTGTGGCTTCTTCTGAACCCTGGTCAACCAAAGATTTAATCTTGTCACAGCTGTTTCAAAGCTAAGAAACTGGACTTTGCTCCTAGGGCTGGATGGTTTGGTGTTTTCCTTCAATTTTTTTTTATAATACCATGGGCAATGGGGAAGAGAACAAAAAAGAAAGAAAGGCAAGGTAAATTTTGATCTTTACATGATTTTTTTCTTTTTTTGCTTCTGCCTTAGTATTTTCTTAAAAACTTCTTTATTAGTTGAAAATAGAGCTAGATAAATTGAAAAGAAGGGTAAGGTGGGAGAGATGGGAGAGAATGATGGAAGGGGTGACATTAATAAGATATATTCTGCTCATAAATTGATCTGTTTAATTGAAACTCCCTTGTACAGCTACTTAAAGATAATAAAAATATTTTACAAATAAAAGAAAAATAAAATTAAAAACCTTTATTAGGGGAAAGAAACAAAATTCTCTAATTAAATTCTTTTTTATGTTTTATTGTTATTATAAAGGTGATATACAAAGGGGTTACAATTACATAAGTCAGGTAAAGAGTTTTATTGATTGATTCATTGATTGATTGCTGGTCCTGGAGCTTGAACTCTGGGCCTGGGTGCTGTCCCTGAGCTTCTTTTGCTCAAGGTGATCACTCTACCACTTGTGCCACAGCACCACTTCCAGCTTATTTGAGTAGTTTATTGGAGATAGCAATCTCATGGAGTTTCCTGACCTGGATAGCTTCGAACTGAAATCCTCAGATCTTAGCCTCCTAATTAGAATTATAGCTGTGATCCCAAGTTTTTTTGCTCAAGGTTAAGTACTGTCTGAGCTGCAGCTCCACTTCCAGTTTTCTGGTGGTTAAGTGGAGATAAGAGTTTCATGGACTCCTGTCTGGGATGGCTTGGAATTGTGATCCCTAGATCTTAGCTTCCTGAGTAGATAGGAATACAGGCATGAGCCACCAGTGCCTGGCAAAGGTACATTCCTTTGTGGACAATGCCACCCTTTGTAATTAAATTCTAAAGATCTATCACATTCAAAATGGAAATTGGAAAGAACAGAACAACATAGGCATATATATTGCTACTTAGTTCTCTTTAATCAAGCTATAACTTCACTTCTGTAATGTTGGCACAGTTCAAAAGTAATTTATTAATTTGATAAGCTGTGCTTGCTCTTGAAGGGACTGGTTCTACATGTTTCTATAGAAATTATGCTGCAGCTGATAACTGCTAAAACCATATCTTTACTGTAGATCTCTTTCCTCAGATCTGGGAGTTTCACAAGAGCTACAAACCCCGTCGGTGTCAATGGAACTTACTACTTATTCTTTTCACTCTTAGCTTTCATTTCTTTTTAAATTCCTTTGTTAGATGAATGTTTTCACCATGCAGTCATTTACCTAATTCGGAAACCTGCCATCCTCTATTTCCTACAACTTTAACTTCCTCAAGCAATAATTTTACTCCTTCCTAACTCTATCATCTATCTGTCCCCCAGTACTTCCCTCCATCTCCCAATGATACCCAGACCTCAGTCCTTCATACTCATGTTTCCCCTTGACAGTCCCCTGTGCATTCTTCCTAGCACATGGCTGCACTGTTCATTTACTGCAAAGTAACAAGAAGACTATAATGGATAGTCATGTGGGTATCCCCCATCTTTACTATTAACAAATGCATTTTATTTCATTCATTTCCTATTCGCAACATCCCTTCCCTGAAGTATTTTTTTAAAAAAATTTTATTGTAGAGGAAATATACAGAGGGGTTACAGTTACATAAGTAAGGTAAGACAATGAGTACATTTAAAAAAATATTATGTTTAAGTGGTTGTACAAGGATATTCCCATTCTATAAAACAGTATATGAATACAAAGTGTCTGATAACATTGTCACCCATTGCTCTTAACTCACCCTTCTAGCAACTTTTCTTCTTTTATCTTAATTGATAGTAGGTGATTACATAAATTTCACATATTTCACAGTATTGTGGAATAGTGATACTTAGTTAAAGTCACAAACACATTTTAACCTTCACAAGGCAAATTGTCATTATCATGGTCTATCAAGTTTGTGAATTCTATGAAATACAATTATTTCTTCCACATTTCTTTCCTTTTGCTTAGTGTAAGCTATTCCTTCTTTTCCTCCCATTCCTCCCTTCCCATTAACGTCTTTGGGTTGCTTGCTTTCATCTATGTCCAGTGCAGCTGACGGGCCCCTCTGTTGTATGCTTTCCATTTCCCACTGATTCTGTCTTCCTTCTAGCTTCCTTCCATTGCATGCATGCATATATATATATATATATATATACATGTGTGTGTGTGTATATTATATATATATATATATATATATACCATATATGTGGTCAACAACAGAGTCATTTAGCAATGATATGACAAAATGAGTGTCTGTCCTTTGTTTCTCGAGTTCTGTTTACTTTGTCATATCTCTTTGCATTTTGGCTTTAGCGTCCACATATCAGGGACACCATGTGCCATTTTTCTTTGCTCTTGCTTTACCTCGCTCAAAATGATTTGCTCTAGTTTCATCCATTTCCCTGCAAATGCCATTATTTTGTCCTTTCTAATGGCTGCATAATATTCCATTGTATATAGGTACCACAATTTTTGGATCCACTCATCAGTAGTGGGCATCTGGATTGTTTCCATATCTTGGTTATTGTGATCAGTGCTGCAATGAACATGGAGGTGAATGTGTCCTTGTATCCTGGTTCCTGTTGCTCAGGGTAGATGCCTAGGAGTGATATGGCTGGGTCATAGGGGAGGTCTATATTTAGCTTTCCAAGGTACCTCCAGACTGCTTTCCAAAGTGGTAGTATTAGTATACATTCCCACCACCAGTGCAGTAGGGTTCCTCTTTCTCCACATTCCTTCCAGCATTTGTCTTTGGCTGAATTTAGTACATTTCTTTTTGAACAATGTTATCCCTTCCCTCCTTTTCTCCCACACCCCCCAACTCCCCTAACTCCAAGTTGTAAAGTTTATTTCCAACATAGTGTCTAATATCACTGTTGCATAGGTTCACCCTGTGACTTCCCTAGAGTATTCTGACATACATGTAAAAGAGTCTATCATTTAATCTGTAAATAGTTCAATGTACATCTCTGAGAGATAGAGTATCACTTACTCTCCCCTCCTTCTTTTGCTGGTGCTGGTGCTTGAACTCAGGGCCCGGGCACTGTCCCTTAGCTTTTTCACTTAAGGCTATCACTCATCTGCCACTTAAGCAAAGCTCCACTTCTGGCTTTTTGGTGATTAATTGGAGATAAGAGTCTCACAGAGTCTTGTTGTCCTCAGACCTCAGCCACCTTAAGCAGCTAGAATTACAGTGGTAAGCCAATAGTGCTCGCTCACTTATCTCTTGAAACTCAACGTGAAAGGTTCCCTTCCCACTTTCTGCTAAAAGTGGGTGGGACACATGTTTGTTAGGGAAAGTAGCTCACAAAACAGTGTTGGGTTTTTGTTTTTTGATCATGGGGCTTGAACGCTGGGCTTGGGTGCTGCCCCTCAGCTCTTCAGCTCAAAGTGAACATTCTACCACTTGAGCCACAGCACCACTTCCAGTTTTCTGATGGTTTATTGGAGATAAGAGTCTCACAGACTTTCCTGCCCAGGATGGCTTTGAACCGCGGTCCTAAGATCTCAGCCTCCTGAATAGCTAAGATTACAGGTATGAGTCACTGGTGCCCTGCAAAACAGTGGTTTTTGTGAAGCACTCTCATTCTGGATTTTAATGACTATACCCTGGACAAAAGGGACCAGGTCTCTTTATCTCCCATTTTATGCCAATTGGCAATTAGGCACAGAAGCTTGCTTAGATTCAAGTATTTCACTTTCTCACTCTTTTCCAGAATTCTTGAGTTATGGTCAAGAAGTTTCACTAAGTCTTTGTTACTTGGTTTACTTTGTTACTTGGTTTACTTTCTTCTTTTTACTTATTTTCATTTTACTTATCTATTCTGCACTTGATGACATTTGTGCTATTTCCATTTTTGTATACATTTGTATACATATGTTTGTACGTTTTCACTTCTTTTGGGTATATTTTCATAAGTAGAATTACTGGGAAACATGATCACAAAAATACATGCTTACAAAAACTTACATTTCTGATACAGTTGCAATCCATATGAATCTATAGTACAAACAATAAATTTTATCTTTTTAAAATGCAGCTCTCCAATTACCCAAAATATCACTATTTAAATTTGTTTTACCTTCACTGAAGAGCATTGATCTCTTCCCTGCTGCCACTCTATTTTTTTTTTTTTTGCTGGTCTTGGGCCTGAACTCTGGGCCTGGGTGCTCTCCCTCAGCTCTTCAGCTCAAGGCAGGCACTCTACCACTTG